ACATGATTCAATACATGATTGAAAACTGATGACTACTACTCATGTCAGTGTTCCATGGGTTCACAAGATACTCTAGAATGAACCTAGAAAATATGAGATTTTGGACAAGAAAATGAAGCTGAAAGGTAAATAATGTATATTTCATCAGTTTTGCCATAACAGGCAAAGGATACAGAAGAGAAAAGGATATTTGAGAAGTGAACATCTGTTTAAGAAGGCAGTATCTGAGATTGGCATTTGAATTCTGCACCACGGTTTAGATTAATCCCTGTCCTTTTCTTAACCCAGCCAACATGTCTTTCCTTATAGGCCACAGCCTCCTGTAGCTTAAGTCCTTGTTCCAAGTACAAGAGGACCATTAGATCAACTTTGGGATGAAATTGTGAACATTTGGTCAACCCAATAATTCCTCTTTATCCCATTCTACCTCTTTCAGGAAATAAAAAGATTTATAAACGAACTCTCACATCCTTTAAAAAAAGAATATATTAATAGGCTCCTGGCTAGGGATGGAATATTCCTAATGAGGGTTGGTAAAAATGTATATTTCTAATGTTACAAATTTAATAAAATAATTTTAAACTGAAAATAGAGAAGGATACAGCTTATGAATATACAGAAGTCTATGTAGAATTTAGTTTCTACAATGTAGGAAGATCAGTTGAGATACCCAGAAATAAGCAGAAGACAAAATGCAAAGAAAAAGACAGTGGTAAAATTCATGGTCTCCAAAGTCTAAATATTAATATATAAGATTATGTAACAAATATGATGAACTAGAAGTCCTAATGCAAGAAGTTATCACTGAGAGTTAGTGGGATGAAACTCACTACTGAATTATGGTTTGAGTTTATCTGTTTGATTCAAAAGATTCAGTATAGTTACATGAGGCAGGGTTAGTTTTCTATATTAGAAGATATACGTATATGACAAATCAAGAAAAGGTGGGGGGCAGCATTCTGGGGAACATTTTGATGAAGAACAATGGAGGTAAAAACAGAAGCAGTTTTGTTATGAAAACATCTTACAGAACACCTAAACACAAAGAGAAAACATTAGGAAACAGAGCACAAGGTAGGGATGGTGGATTTCAATTATTGAGATATCTCCTGGAACTCTCTCTTTGCCAAAAGCAATTCAAATTCTTGAATTACTTTAATGAAAATTTCCTACTTCAAAAAGTGGAGGAACTATGAAGGAGGTAATCTTTTCTAATTCATACCACTAGAGAGAAAAAAATTGCTTAGGTTAAAATTACAGAAAATGGGAGAAGTGATCAGTCCTTTGGATTTTGTGAAATAAACTATATAAAGCTAAGCATAGTCCAACAAGAACCCTAGATTTTCAGAGAGCAGATTTCAAAGGGATCTGGGAGAAAATTAATAGGATAATAACAATTAAGAAAGAATAAAATGACCTGAAAAATGAAATGTCTCTCTCATCTGAAGACACAGAGAAATAATTCTGATATGGAAGAAATTGGGGGAGGTGCCTAAAGAAACAGTACTCAAAGATCTCAACACCAAATTTAAAGTTGGAAGAGATATGCAGAGAAGATGGAAGGAAGGGAAGGTAATAGAGTATAGAAGGAAGATGATAGAGGTAATAGAAGGTGGTACAGTACTTTCACCTGTCAAGGGTGCTAATAATTGGAATAAGCTGAGGAAAGGAAAGCAAAGCAAAAGGGGGGGAAATTGGAGTTATATTGGGGAAAAGTGATGAACAATGAAAGGAATATAACCATTGACCATGGTGTATCAGTTGATGATAACTGACAACAGAAAGAAATCAGAGCTGCTCAATTATTTTCCCCTTCTATTTTCTTTTACAAAAAGAATGGAAATATGAACAAAAAAGATAGAACAAAAATGTTGAATAAAGTTTTTTTCCATGCAGTGCCAGACAAACTACAACCTCAGGTACTAAAAGAATGGGAAAATATGATGATCAGTAATAATTATAAGATGGTGGAGAAAGAACACAAGACCAACAAGATGGCTTAACAGTTGACTTTAGCAGCCCTCAGAAATCAAAAAAACCTCAGAAAAAGATACAGAGTAGTTACAGCTGAATCCACTAGATTAGAAGGAAGAAACTCCACACATGTAAAACCCTAATAGAATAACATTGGATAACTTAAATAAAGAGAGCTCCCTCTCACCATTGACCCCTCCCCTGCTACTCCCCATCTTGCTAAAACCAAGTAAACAAGCACGTTTATGACTCAGGATCTGCGGTAGGCATCCTTGCCCTGCCTCCCATGACTAATGTGGAACTTATTCATACTGAAACACCACCCCACAAATGTGACAATTATCGACTTGGTGCCCCTTCAGGAAAAGAAAGGGGAAAACAACTGAAAGAGAGAGGGACAATCAGAAAGTGAGTTCAAGTGAAAGGTGTGGACAGTGCAGAACTACTGCATACAAAAGAAATAATATTCACTGCCAAAGGAAAGAGGGCTGCAAATCCTTGGGGGAGGGGAGTCCTCCATTCTACCCAGGACCGACCACAGATAAGGATTCCACAGATTGACTTTCACTTACCAAAAGCCAGGAAGCTGATAACAACAAGAATGTCCAGTCTTTGGGGAACTGGGCAGCAGTGGAAGAAACCAGAGACATGGGGCTAGAAATAAGAAATATTGAAAAACCAAGATTTCATAAGAAAAAAAAAAAGAATAAAACCTAGGTCACGATTAGAAAAAATAACAGAGAATATGGAAAAGAAAAAAGGAAAAAAATGAATAAAACTTCCAAGAGAAGTCCTAGCATAGTGAAGTGAATATTAGAATGTGAAAGAAATTGCACTAAGATTACTTGATGAAAAAGATAATTTGGCAGACTTCCCAGAGATCTTGGAACAGTAGCCAGAAACTCCAGTAAGATTCCCAAGAGAAATAAAACTCCCAAAGAGGAAATTAGAAGTGAATTTAGATCAGAAATCAGAGCTCTTGATGCAGATAAAAAAAATACACCAACAGAACAGTAGGAAAAATTGAATACAAAAGGGAAAGTCTCATCAAAGGTTAGTAGCAGAATGAGAACAGAGATAAAGACAGAGAAAAACAGAAACAGAGAGAGACAGAGAGTAATAAATTTAAAATTTAAAAATACAAGATTTGAAGAAATTTTTTGCAGAAGAAAAGCTAAAGGCAAAAGATTAGAACAGATGAATTCTATACAAACCAAAGGAGCTGATATTGAAGATAGGATGCATAATACGTTTCCAAGAAGAAAATTACAAATCAAAAAACTTCAATGGCATACTACAAGAAATAATTAAGATGAGAAAACTTCCCGTTATTTCTGAATACTAACAATGTAGCTCTGATCAACAGATCCAGTGCTTATACAGTGTCTGGTATATAGTAGATACTTTAAGAAGTGTTTATTGATTGATTGTTTCCATAGAATACAAAGATTACCATTAGAAAAAACAAAAGAACACTTTCCAAATTTGAACGCATGTATTAGTTAAGTTCTACAATTAATCACAAGATGTTCAGATATGAATGAAAACCTATTTAATAACCCACAATTTTTCAAATCACAAAAAAATCAGAAAAAATCAAGATATTATATATTCCAAAGGAGTCAAGCTATAACCCAAAATAATATGTTCTGAATACCTGAACTTATTCATAAACAAAATAATATGACAAAGGAAAGAATTTGAGAGATTCCTCCAAATTCCCCAGCCACCAAAACATAAGAAAACTAAACATATTTAATTAACAAGAAAATGCTAAGTAAAGAAACTAGTTTTCTTATATGTATATGCTATTGATTTTTTTAAAGACTGACAAGATGTGAAAGAAAGAAGACAAAGGGGGAAAATGGAACCCAAAGGAGTAAAAATTTAGAGACAATTTAAAGAACTTGGGAAAAGAAAGGTTGAAGATTTTGGAGAATTTAAAGAACCTGGAGAAATAATGATTGAAGTGTTGTTTTAAAACCCTGTGGGCCAAATGCTCTGGTCCCCATAACTGAACAAATGTCTTTTATAGGAAGGGATAACAGAGTAGGAAATTGCTTGAACAGAATGTGGGGGGAGATAAGTGACAGAAGATAATGGGTGATAGACCTTTACCATGACAAAAGGTGAATAGTGAAGGAATGGTGATTTCTATTGTTTCCATCAATAATGGAAGCTGTGATCATACAGGATAAAAGCAATGGAAGAAGGTACTGGAATATAGGAGTGGAGGAAAAGGGAACTGTCACCCAGAAATCAAAAGAAAAAGATCCTACAAAAGGACATTCCTATGGGAGAGTGAACACACTGTGCATATGTAGGGGAGTAGGGAGTAGAAAGGGACACAATGAAACCGATAGTGGCTATAAACTCCTTGAAGTTGGGTACTGTGTCTGAATTACCCTAAATGCTGATGACATATGAACAGATGAGGTGCCATATTGTCTTGGGCAGCTTTTCTCATGATCTTCTCCTCCTCCAATTTCTTGCACCATAAATGATGTGAGGATGGTCGTGAAGGAGGGATCTTTAGGGAAGCAGGAAGAACAGAACTTTCAGGAGCTGTTTGGAGAGGATAGCTCAGACCAGCTAATATCATATGATTCTAAAACCCTCACTTCCCTCCCAATTAGATTGCAACCTCCTCAAGGGCAAGGGCTGCTTTTGCCTCTTTTTGTATCTCCAGACTTAGCATGGTACCTGACACATAGTAGGTGCTTAACAAATGTTTACTGATTGATTAATTGGTAAACTCCACATCCTAGCATTAAAACTCTGTCACTGCTTGCCCACATCCAACTTGCCCAACCTTATTTCCCAGCACTTCTAGTTAGGCCTCTGTTCCAAACAGGCCTTTGTTCCTTTGTCCCTTAGATACACCAGATTCATTCCTCACCTTTGAATGAGTATGAAGGAAGGAGTGGGACAAAGGACTTTTCAGATTAGGGTCTTCTCCTCCCATCCCAATCTATGTTACCATCTCCCAATAAAGATAATTAAAAGTAAAAGACAATGACAATGGATTGCCAGGCTAAAAGCACTTTATTGGTCAAGGGCTGGGACTGCAAGGCAGTGTGTACGCCATTGCTCCCCTCCCTACATGCAAATGTTGGGCCCCCATTTGCCCACAGACCCCCATCACAGACAGGTCTATATTTAGTGGTACTTGTGCGCCAAGGCACTGGCCACACCAGTCACCAGCTTCTGCCAAGCAGCGTGCACTTCAGGAGTAAACTCCTTGCCGAAATGAATGGCCAGAACTACAACCAGTACATTCCCGAGGAGCTGCAGGAGAGAAAGAGAAAGAGGAGCTCAGGGACCTTATAAGGAGAAAGCTCCAGCCAGAACACCTGGGAAGTCTACCCATGTTCTCCTACCCATGTCCAAAACTGTTCCCAGCTCACCTATCATGGAGTAGGATATCATCTGTCCTTTTTGTCCTTAATTCTTCCCTTCTAAAGGAACCTATCTCTTCCTCTCCAGCTCCTCCTGTCCCCAGACCCACATAAGTGTCCCATGATCCTCGCGCCCAGCTCCATTTCTTCCCTACTCTATTCTCTTGGGTTCCTCTTGTCTGCCTCTTCCTACTTCAAAACACTTTTCTCTCTGCCACCACATGCTGCCTCCTAACCCTAAACATAGCACTAAGTTCACAGCACTAAGATAAGGGCCTTGGCAGGCCTAACTCAGACCTGAAAAGAGCTAATTGAGGGCGGGAGGGGGAGGTTGGAAGGGAAAGGAAAAGAGAGAATGATCAGTGGGAAGAAAAAGATAAGGAACATGAGAAGAGGAAAGGGTGAAAAAGAGAATGAAGATAAAGAAGAAAAAATAATAATACTATGTTAATGACACTCCATAGAGACAAATAGAATCCTAGAATTATAGAAAGGATATAGAGGAAGTCTAGTCCAACCCCCTATTTTATAGCTGAGGAAAGTGAGACTCAGAAGGATTGAGTGACTTTCATAAGATCACATAGCTAGTCAGGAGAGCCTGCATTTGAACCTAATACTCCTCAATCCAAAATCAAGACTTAGTAGTTAGTGCAAACAATGTGACTGCCAGTTTCAAAACACAATAAATTAAGGCTTAGCAATATCTTTGCAAGCTTAAGAGATGGCGAAGCTCCCATTGGTACTGACCAGAGTTGGGGTTTAGAGTAGGGATGGAAGGTTATGACAGAGAAGCAAAGCTCCACAAAAAGCACAAAGTAGAAGAAAAACAATTAAACGAGAACCCCAAGTCAATCCACTTTTCAAAAGCAAAAAGGCTAGTGGAGAACTAGGTATCCAGTGAAGAGTATGAATGTGTGGGATAGTTATAGAGAGAGAGAAAAGGGGGGAGTTGAAGACAAATTGAAAAAGAATGATCAATGGAAAATTGAAAGGAGGGTAAGAGAAGTATTGGGAGAAGGAGAGAAAAAGGAGAGAAAGAAGGACTGAAAAAGAAGCAATGAGGGCAAGAAAAAGGAGTGTATGAACAAAAGAGGGGCACAGAGAGCCGTTAAGAGATAGAAAGAAGAAGTAAAGCTATAGATGGAAAACAGATCCCCTAAAATATTTGAGGTCATCAATGACAAGCTTGGGGTATCCTGCTTTATTCTGGCCGTGGTGCTTTTGAGCACTCAGCCACTTCAGGACCCTGTGGCAACAGTAATAAAGCTTAGTCTGACTATCACTAGCTTGCTAAGCCACAGAGCCCAAGACTTACCCTGAAGTTCTCAGGATCCACATGTAGTTTGTCACAGTGCAGCTCACTCAGTTTGGAGAAGGTAGCCTTGAGGTTGTCCAGGTTCTTGACAGCCTCACCCAAGGAGGTCAGCACCTTCTTGCCATGGGCCTTGATCTTGGGGTTCCCCAGGATAGCAGAAGCAGAAGACAAGTTGCCAAAGGAATCAAAGAACCTCTGGGTCCAGGGGTAGACAACCAGCAGCCTATAGGGGAAGGGAAAAAATAAGTCCAAATGTATAGGAGAGCCTTCTAGAAGTTGTCAGATTCCCTTAGGGCCAGTCTGTGGCCCCTAGGCTTGATTTCATTCCCTACCTCTGCTACTTACCTGCCTAAAGCTTCTCCACCAGTCTCTTCCACATTGACCTTGCCCCACACGTTAGTGATGGCAGCCTTCTCCTCAGCTGTGAAATGCACCATGATATTGGTCTTCGTGAGTTTGCTTGTCAACACTGATGTGTGTCAAAAGCAGGTTGATGTGGCAACAGGTCCTCAGCTGCCTTTTATTTCCAGCCCTTGGCCCCCTGGCCCCTTGCTCTCCCCAGACCTCTGAAGTTATTGGTCAGAGTTCCTTGGGAGTGGAGCCAATGACAAGAGTGGTCGTTATCAGTACTGGACACTCAGTTGGTCAGTGTCTGTGTCTTTGGAGACCTGTAGGGGGTCTCCTTCCCTCCTTGGACACTAATTCTCTAATCCAAATTATAGTGTCCTCATGTCAGTAGAATTCATGTAAGTGTACAAGACACAATAGTAAATGATTACAGTAATCTATTATTTGATAAACCCAAAGACTCCAGCTTCTGGATGAAGAACTCATTATTTGACAAAAAATGCTGGGAAAACTGGAAAATAGTATGACAGAAACTAGGCATAGACCAACTTCTTACACTGTATACCAAGATAAGGTCAAAATGGGTATATGATTAAGATGCAAAGGGTGATACCATAAGCAAATTAGGAGAGCAAAGAATAGTTTACTTGTCAGATCTATGGAGAAGGGAAGAATTTATGACCAAACAAGAGACAGGGAACATTATGAAATACAAAATGGATAATTTTAATTATGCGGAATTAAAAAGGTTTTTTACAGATAAAACCAACACAACCAAGATTAGAAGGAAAACAGAAATGGGAAACAATTTTTATAGCAAGTGTTTCTGATAAAGGCCTCATTTCTCAAATATATAGAGAACTGAGTCTCTAAGAATACAAATCATTCCCCAAGTGATAAATGGTCAAAGGATATGAACAGGCAGTTTTCAGATAAAGAAATTAAAGCTATCTTTAGTCATATGAAAAAATGTTCTAAATCACTATTGATTAGAGACATGCAAATTAAAACAACTCTGAAGTACCACCTCACATCTATCAGATTGGCTAATGTGAAAGAAAAGGAAAATGATAAATGTTGGAGATGGGGGAAAATTAGGACACTAATGCATTGTTGGTACAGTTGTGAACTGATCCAACCATTCTGGAGAGCAATTTGTACCTATGCCCAAAGGGCAATCAAACTGTGCATACTCTTTGATCCACCAATACCACCACCAGGTGTGTATCCCAAAAAGATCACAAAAAAAGGAAAAGGACCCATATGCACAAAAATATTTATAGCAGCTCTTCTTGTGGTGTCAAAGAGTTGGAAATTGAAGGAATGCCCATCCATTGAGGAATGGCTGAAGAAGTTGTGATATATGTGGTATATGAATATAATGTGCTATAAGAAATGATAAGCTGGCAGATTTCAGAAAAATCTGGAAAACCTTACATGGACTGATGCTGAGTGAAGTGAGTGGAAGCAGAACATTATACACAGTAACAGCAACATTAAGCAATGATCAACTATGATAAATTTGGCTCTTCTCAGCAATCCAATGATCCAAGAAAATTCCAAAAAAACTCATGATGGAAAATGCCATTCACATCCAGAGAAAGAACTATGGAGTCTGAATGCAGATCAAAGCACATGCTATTTTCACTTTTTTTTGGCTTTTGTTTTTTGTGGCTTTTCCCTTTTCTTCTGTTTCTTCTTTCACAACATAACTAATGGGGAAATATGTTTACGTAATTGCACATATACAACCTATATCAAGTTGCTTGCAGTCTTGGGGAGGGGAAATGGGAGGGAGGGAGAAAAAATTTGAAACTCAAAATCTTATAAAAAATGAATGTTGAAAACTAGCTTTACATGTAATTGGAAAAAATAAAATATTATTTACCAAAAAATGTTTCCCTCTGGTTCACCCTCTATTGACTAGATTTCATCCTCCACCAAAAGATCAGTAGGTTTCGGTGGGGCTGAGGCCCTCTACCCAGGTTAAGGTAAAAGTGAAAGGAAGGTAACCAAATGAAAGGGGAAAGTGCTAAAGCTAGAGAAAAGTATGAGGGTCAGTCAACTCAGCTGCAATGGATATGGGGACAGTAGAATACACTAAAAAAAAAAAGAAATTAACTCTTTATTAACAGAAAGGAAACAACTAGTTATAAATGTAGCAGTCATTTCTGAGCTATACAATCCAATTATCTATTATTCAGAGCAAAAGACGAAGTAAATACCAAATACCAAAGGGTAAAGATAAAGATGGAAAAATCTTATAAGGAAATTTAAACATCAAATATTCATTAGATTTTTGTTAGCATTACTAGTCACATAGCTGGTAACAGAGACAGTTTTAAACCCACATCTCAACCTCCAAATTGAGTGTTCTTACCAATGATGGCTGAGATTATTTCTGAATTTCTTTAACTTATTTATTGCTGACTACATTTCTCTAGGAAATATTAATAATTATAGTTAATTTCTACCCAGTTCCCATTTGTCAGAGAAGACATCCTACTTAAAGAGGTCCCTAGTTTCTTAGAGTACCCAAAGGACCCCTTGTGATCTTCCTTCTCCCCTAAGAATTTCCATTTCTCCTCCTTCCACATCTTCTAGCCTCACTTCTTCCTTCCATAATCAAAGGATTACTTGCTTCAACTGAGAGACAAAGAAAAAGAATGGATCCCTGCAATGAAAAACATCACAGAGCAGTTGGGGAAACAATATTTAAAATCATAAAATATTGAAAAATAATACAGAACACATTGTTTCAAACATTAGAATATGAGGTTTAAATTCCAAAGTTTAAAGGAAGAAAGAGATCCCAGGGAGAATTGATGTAGGCTATAAGGCAACTCCAGGGTCAGCCTGTTGTATTTTCTGCCATATTTGCTGAACTTGGGGACTCCTTCCTGGTGGCTCTAGTCTCTCTGTCTCTCCCTCTCTTTTCATCTCTTTGTATTTCTGTCTCTGTCTCTGTCTCTCTGTCTCCCTCCCTGACCCCTCCCTCCTCTCTCTCTCTCCCTCTCCCTCTTACTCCTTCTCTCCTTTTCCCTCTCTTTCTTCACTCCCTTGTCTCCCTATGTCTGAGTTCTTTATCTCTGTATATCTCTTTCTCTGTCTCCATGTGTAAAATTTTAAGAGGTTTTATTCTTCAGAGTACATCTGTGCCGAGAGTCTTCTCAATGGACAGAGGGTGACAAGAAACCCCAGCCTTGTCTAACTCATAGATCTGTCACCTTATAGAGCCCTCTGCCCAGACCCTTATAAAGAATGGGCCTTTCTTTACCTAACTCTTTTGTGTTTCCTTCCCGCCATCAGCACATACACACATTCCTTTGTCCTTTACCTCTCCAATCTCCAAACCAAGACCTCTTTGTTGTCCTAATCTCTTGAAATTAAGGAAAAAACAGGTGTTTTCTATCAGTTTCCCTAAAATCTCCTTCCCCACCTTCCCCCAAACCTCAGTATACAACATCATCCCCTGGAGCCCTGGGGTTAGATCAGTCCTTGATCTGCAGTTTCCCAGGAGGGAACTTCTTTGACAAAACAAACACAACCACAAAGAGCACTTCTGTCTATAGTGATTTGAGGTTATGGTCTTTTCTCCACAACGACCCTGTGAGATAGATGCAAGTTTTTTTGCCCTCCTTTTACAGATCAGGAAATGAGCCTCAGAAAAGCTAAATGACTTCTCCTGTGTCAAATTACCCATAAGTGTTGGATACAGGATTCAAATCCTCATCACGCTGCCTCTTCCTACTCTTTCTTACCCTGGCTCCCTCCATCCTACTTCCTTCCCATTGTCAATGAATAAAGCATGCCAACCTACGGCAAAAGTCCTTGCCAATCTAGATTTACCCTTCTAGCCTGATTTTGCATTAATCTTCTTCTGCCCTTTGTTTTGTACAAATCTATCTCCTGATTGTTCCCTGGACTCAAAACTCTGTCTCCCATCTCAAAGCCATTCTCTAAGCACAGAACACATTTCCTCTCTATTTCTGTATCCATTAAGCCTGTCCTGATTCCTCCCAGAGATTAGTCCCCTCTCCCTCCTCAAATTTCTTTGTTTAACTGGATAGATGTTATTGTATGGAGTGGAATGTAAGCCTCTTGTGGATGGGAACTGCTTCATGGGATGATGGATTTAGAGCTGAAAGGAATCTTAGAGATCAAGTTCACAACCCTTCCCTTCATTCTAAAAATGGGGAAACTGAGGCCCACAGAGTTGTCAGACAAATAGTAAATGCTAGATCTGGGATTCAAACCCAGGTTCTCCAACTCCAAATCCAGTGTGTTTTCCTTTGCACCATGTTACCTACTCATTTCCAGTGCGTAAAAGAGTGCTTAATATAGTGTGGTGTTGATTAAATCTTTACTGAATTGGTTTCTTGGATACTTGGATCTCATTTTGTTTTGCTTGTTTTGTGAGTTACCCTCAGGACCCTGGTTTAATCAATTTCTTTTCCACCTGGGTCATTTAGAAATACTTGCTTCCCTCCCAGGTCTACAGTTTAACCCTCAACTCTCCTCAGGGACTGCTGAAGAGCTCAGTCATTCCCTCATATTTATCTAAATGGCTATCCACTGGTAATTGAGGAGGCTCTTTGGACCCTCTTTAACCTTCTTAAAGGAACAGAAAATAATCCCATGCTCTTTCACATGTGAGTGTTTGGCAGTTGAGTTTCTTGAATTATTCAGGTGAGGGTCCATTGCATGGAGACTGAATTGGAAATCCCCAAAAGTCCATGATATAAGGACTAAGAACAATAGGTGTCAACCTTTGAAACTCTGATCAGGCTCTTCTGTGATCTCAGGGGGATGTAAATAGCTTCTCCCAGGAATCTCCTGGGGACTGTGGCTAATACTATATTTGGGCATGGTCAGAGACCATGAGGACACAGCTTCAAGAATGATTTCAAGGATAGGATATTTGAAAAGTGGATATAACTCAGCAGAAGTGGAACTCTTACCTTTGGAAAGGGGATGTAGAAGAAACATGCTACATAAAAAGGAGTGGGTTTTTCCTACTTGGACCCATTGGGCAGAAATACAAGCAGTGGATCAAAGTTTCAAAGAGGCAGATTTCAGTTGAGGAAACTTCCTAATAATTAGATCTGTGATTCTCTGATTTGTCTAAAAGAGGAATGGGTTGTCTTGGGAGACAGTGAGCTCCCCAACACTAGAGGTCTTAAAATTAGAGACTCAATGACCATTTTGGAGGGATCTCATATAGGCAATATCTGACATCTCGAGCTCCCATCTCTTTATATGAGCCTATGACACTAAGGGAAGCTGGGGAAGGGAAGAAGAAGTATATAGTAATTTACATGCCAATAAGACTAATGATGTATAGTAATAATACAGCCTCATATGTACATATAACTTCACATTTTAATATTTTATTTGATCTTCACAACTAGTGGCATTTAGGATCAGAGATTTAGCTGGAAGAAAACTTAGAGTTTCCTTGTGGTTCAACTTTCCTCCATGTTCAGGAATCCTCTCTACAGACCCTGAGAGGGGGTCATCCTGCCTCTGCTTGGACACCACAAATGGATCTTGTTAAATACTTTCTGAAGCAATCTATTCAAAGATGCTATTCCTGATCTTGAGCCAAAATCTAGTTCTCTATACCCTTCCCCTTGCTCTTGGGTCTTTCCTCTGAGACTAAGCAGAAGTCTAATCAGTCAATCAACACACATTAATTGAGGCCTATCATGTGTCAGAACTGTGCTGGTTGCTAGGGATACAAAGACAAAGAATGAAACAATCCCTCTTCTCAGGGAGCTTATATTTTATTGGAGGAGACTGACTTTGCAAGTACATACAGCATAAATACAGTATAGTTAAATATAAGGTAGTTTGTCATGTTATAAGAGTGGAGAAAACAAATATATGCACAAGTATAACAGAATAAATACAAATTAACACAAAATAATTAAATACAAGATAATTTGGGAGGGAGGCTGGAAGTTAGCAGGTGAGGGAATCAGGAAAGGCTTTGTGTAAAAGAAGATGGAGCTTAAGCTACATCTTGAGGGAAGAGATTCTGTTAGGAAAAAGATGAAAAGTGAAAGTATTCCAGGCATGGGAGATGACCAATGCAAAGTCAAGGAGAGTGTATAACACAGAAAAGACTGGATTACAGGGGGCAAGAGTGGGAAAGGACTATACAATGAGGTTTAAGAAAAAAGTTAGATGAAGGGCTTTGAGAGCTAAATGAAGGTATTAATATTTTATCCTAGAGGAAGGAGGAAGCCATTGAAGTGTATTGAGTGGGGGAGTGACATGGTCAGATCTCTACTTGAGGAAAATAATTTTTGCAGTAGGGTGGAGAGACTTAAAGCAGGGAGACCAAGTAGGAGACCACTGCAGGTGAGAGATGATCATAGATTGTACAAGGTGGTAGCTAATACCCTTTACCAAGAAATCCCTTCAAATACTTATGAAGGGTTGAAAGGAGCAATGGATATGGACTTGCTACACTGGGGGATTTGACCAACCCAGGCATCTCTGGATAAAGGAGAAATTCTGCCTTATTCCCCACCCTTACCTCCATATACCCACCAAAACCATGAAGCAGGGAGAGAAAGAAGTGGGGGTGAGGTGTCAGTGTTTTCTATCTTCAAGCCAGTAGGCATCATCCTAGGCCCCATTTTTCTCTCAGCCCTGTCCTGCTATCGATAACCCCACCCAGTGGTCTCCTATCATCAGAGCCTGCTGTATTTTCCTCCTCCAGGAAAGACTTGGGTCCGAGATAACAGGGGTGGATGAGCACACAGCTGGAGTGTGCAGATAAGCAGAGAACTGGTTAGGGCTGAGGATCAGGAAAGGCCCCACCAATTATTCAGAGGGGACAGTAGAAAAGATCACCCTTTGCCCCAATCCCAAACCTATACCTAGAAGATGTGTGTGTGTGTGTGTGTGTGTGTGTGTATTTGGTGGGGCAAGGTACCCATGCCAAGTTTATGTGTTTTATAGAGTAGCTGTTCATAACAGCATCTGTGCATGTGTGTGTGTTTTGGGTGTATGACAATGACTCAATCAACATGCATTTGGCAAGCTTCTATTATGTACCAGCCATGTTTCTAGTTGCTAGGATATCTAGGATATCTGTCTCTCTTTCTCTGTCTTGCTCTCACCTCTCTGGTAGGCCTGTGGTTTGAATAGTATAGAGAATTCCCAGGTGGGGAAAGTCCTTGTCTCAATGCAAGTCAGCAACTTGATTTCAATTTATAGATTTAGATGGGTGCTCAGAGCACTAATATGTCAATTGACTATCCAGGGTCATATAGTCAATATGTATAAGTGGCTAAATTGAAGCCTGGTCTGCCTGGCTTCAAATCTGGCTCTCTATCCTCTATGCCAGGCCACCTCTCTCTCACTGGGAGGTGAAAAGGAAGTACATTCCAGGTAAGGGGGATGGCCAATGAAAAGGCACAGAAATGGGAGACAGTTTCATATTTAAGGAGTCTTAGCAATTTACAGGAAGAAGGCATGTCATGTAGTTCAACCTGTACCTGAATTTAGCCCCTGCTTCAACATCCCCAGTAATTAAAGAAAGAAAATTCACTATCCTGTGAGACAAATCTCTCTGTCTCTGTCACTGTTTTTCTCTGTCTTTATGTCTCTGTGTCTCTCTCTGGCTCTGGCTCTTTATCTCTCTCTCTGTTTCTGTTTCTGTCTGTCTCTATCTCTGTGTCTCACTGTCCCTCTCTCTGTCTCTGTCTCTGTGTCAGTCTCTGTCTCTCTATTTCTCCAACCTTCTCATGGTTTTTGTCAAAGAAAATGTACACAGTGTATTCTCAGCACATAGCATAATAGAATACCACACCAAAGATAAATACTTAGAGGTTATCTAGTCTAACTCCTTCATTTTACAGAAATGGAGAAACTGAGGCACACAAAGTGAAAGTGACTTGCCTAAGGTCACACACTGAGGGTTGATTAAATGATTCCATCTCATTGCCCCTGGCTTGGGTCCAGATGCAGTATGGAAGTCAATAGTTTCTGTCCTTGTCATCTTCACTGTTAAGACTTTGCTGGTTGACTCAGATAGTAGATTCATCCCTGACAGGAGAGAAGTATCTGGTTTCACAGCCCTCATGTCCCAGCACCTCCCATCCCCCCTATCCCCCCCACCCACCCAGCAAGACACAGCATGGCTGAACTCAGGGTTTGTGCTAGAGTGTTTTGAACTCTTCAGAGTAGGAGCTTCCCACTGAGCATTGCTAAGACCCTTAGCCCATGTCTTCCTCTACCCTTATTAGACAAATACACCCCTGGAATAATTGATGCCAGGAGAATGGAGAGGCAGATTGAAGAAAAGCCTGAGAAAGTACTAGAATTTAGGAAAAGAGACAGAACTGAAGAGGGGAAAGATGAAGGTCATTCAGGCAAACCAGTTTAGGTGCAGACAACACTGAGCCACATACTTCTGCACATGATCTTGCCTTTGCACAACCTATCCCATGGCTGGAATTCACTCCCTCCTCATCTCCCCTTCTTAGCCTCCCAAGCTTCTTTCAAGGCTCAGTATGGGAAACTTATCTTGATCCTATCACATTATATCCCTGCCCCTTATTAATGCCCTTATCCCTGAAAATTACATTGTATTTACTTTTCTGTGTATATGCTGTTTCCCCAGGATAGAATACTGACTCTCAGAAAGTAGGAAGTAATTGTGTTGTCTTTGCATACTTGATGCCTGACACATAGTAGGTACTTAAATGTTGAATGAATGAATGTAAAGCACAACTCTGTTCCCCATCTTCCCTCTATGATAACGAAGGTAATTAGCCAATAACAATAACTCAGATTTCTATAGAATATAAAAATGTATTAGAGGCATTGTATCTTAGAGAATAGGGCAACTAGGTGGTGCAGTGGATAGAGTGAGAGGGCTGAAGTCAGGAAGACTCATCTTCCTGAGTTCAAATCCAGCCTCAGATACTTACTGGTTGTGTGACCCCGGGCAGGTCAGTTAACCTTGTTTGTCTCCGTTTCCTTATCTATAAAATGAGCTGGAGAATACAAGGCAAACCACTCCAGTGTCTTTGCCAAGTAAACCCAAATGGGGTCATAAAGGGTTGGACATGACTGAAACAACTGAAAAAACAACAATAATCTCAGGGAATAAATAATTAGCCTCAAAGTCTGTAAGACCAGCATTCAATCCCACCTCTTACACATATTGGCTGTGTGACCCTGGGGAAGTAATTTAATTTCTCAGTGCTGTAGACAACTTTCTAATGCCTTAAGTTCCAAACAAGGTACCAATTTGCATCAATAATCACACAACCACAATCAATAGGTACATAATAAATTCTTGTTATTCAATTTCAAATGGGCATTATTGTTGCCAGGCAATTCTTTTATTTTTCCCTAATCCTTCATCTCATTTCCCATTAAATCTTTTTTTTTCCCCCAAGCTTGCTCTTTTTAAGCCTCCCATTCCTCCCTGGGTCTCTTCTCTTTGAAATGAGGACCTTGCCTCTTTACTGAGAAAATTGAGACTATTCATCATGAGCTCCTACTTGTCCCCTTCTTTTCAATATTTCATTATAACATCACTTAATATCATCCTCCATTCTCTCTGTGTTTCTTCTAATCTCCAATAATGAGGTAGCCCTTCTCCTTGCCAAGTCTAGCACCTTAAGAGATACCCTTGATTCCATCCTCTATTTTCTTTTCCTTTTTTTGTGAGGCAATTGGGGGTAAGTGACTTGCCTGGGGTCACATAGCTAGTAGGTATCATGTGTCTGAAGCTTGATTTGAACTCAGGACCTCCTAATTCTGGGGCTGGTGCTCTATCCACTTCACCACCTAGTTACTCCTTTTTTTCTTTTCTTTTTTCCCCTATTTTCTTTTCTAGCAGATTACAATACCAATTACTCCACCAATCTTCAAGCTTTTCCTACCTAAAAATTCCTTCCCTACTTCCTTCAAACTTTCCCATCTCTCCCACACTTAAGCAACACACTAGATCCTATCATTCTCTCAAACTGTCATTCTATATCTTTCTTCCTTTTCTCAGCCATATTCCTAGAAAAAGCTTTCTATACTTTCTGTCTCCATTTCTTTCTGAGCCCCTCAACCTTTGTAATCTGGATTTCACCCTCTTCACTGAAGTAAAAGCTTTCTATACTTTCTGTCTCCATTTCTTTCTGAACCCCTCAACCTTTGTGATCTGGATTTCACCCTCTTCACTGAAGTGAAACTTCTCTCTCCAGAGTTACCAGTGAGCTTTTAATGACCATATGTGATCATCTATTCTCAGTCTTCATCCTTCTTGACCTATCTACTGCATCTGACAGTGGTGACCATCCCCTTCTCCTGCATATTCTCTCCTCTCTGGGCTTTTGGGACACCATTCTCTCCTGGTTCTCCTCCTACCCCTTCCTAATTGCTCCTCAATCTTCTTTTTTAACTGGTTCATCTCCTTAGCTGTGGATGTTCCTCAAGACTCTGCCCTTTGCCATTTTAACTTTTCTTTCCTTTGTATGTCCAGTGCTTAGCAAAGTTCCTGGCACAGATTAAGTGCATAATAAATGCTTGTCTTATGGTGATTTCATGTTTTCTTGTGGGTTTAATGATCTCTATGCCAACAACTCCAAGAGTTATGTATCCAGCCCCAATTTCTACCTAAAGCATCAGTCCTATATCACCAATTGTCTATTAGATGTTTCAGACTGTATGTCCCAGATATGTCCAAACCCAATATGTCCAAAGCAGAATTCATTATCTTTATCTTTCTTTTGAAAACCGCTACTGTTCTAGTCTCCCAGGTATATAACCTTGATATTGTCCTTGACTCCTCACTCTTCCTCATCTCACAAATATAATCTATTGCTAAATCTTGCCATTTCTACCTCCACAACATCTCTCTCATCTGCCCTCTTCTCTCTATTCATACAGCTTCGTATACTTCAGATCAGGTCCTCATTACTCCTCACCTAGATTATTGCAGTGACTCAATTGCCCTGTCTGCTTCAAGTCTCTCTCCACTCTAACCTACCGCCACGCTGCTTGCCAAAGTGATTTTCTGTAAGCATGGATCTAATCATGTTGCTTTCTTAATCAATTCCATTTGTTTCCTTTTCCCTCTAGTATCAAATACAAATTCCTATGTTTAACTTTTTAAAGCCCTTCACAGCCTGGTCCTAATCCATCTTTTCAGCCTCATTATATATTACTTCCCCTGTAGGACCCAGCCAAACCAGCCTTTTCTCTTCCTCACACATGATACTCCATCTCTCTTTTTCAGTCAGTCAAAAAGTATTTATTAAGTACCCACTATGTGCCAGGCACTTTACTAAGCATCGTGGATACCAAAAGAGAGGAAAAAGACACTACCTGCCCTCAATGAGTTCACAATCAGTTGGGGGTGATAAAAAAAAGCAAATAAATATATACAAACAAGCTATGTATGGGATAAATAGGAAATAATTAACCAAAGAGAAGAACTAACATTAAGAGGGATTGGGAAATACTTCCTATAGAAGATTTGATTTTAGCTGGGACTTGAAAGAAAATAGGGAAGCCAAGAGGCTGAGATGATAAGGCAGAGCATTTCAGGCATGGGGGACAGCCAGAGAAAATGCCATTGGAATTTACTGAGTATTTGGGTGACAG